ATAATTTTAGGTCCTTAACCTAGCATTGGCTGGGTTTACAGGACATGTAACCACAAACTAGCAGACCATATTGTAGCCTAAAAATATTGTGTGAATTCAGCTCAGGTAGATGATTTATGGCTCAATGTATTCTGTGAATCTGGGATCAGTTTACCCAAGAGTTGGGACTGTGTGCAGACATATTCAATAGCAGATCTATGTGAGGGACTAGAGACCAGTGACTTCATTTGTCAAGCCTAAAGTTAGTTAGATTGTGAATTGGGTTATTCAGATGAATTCAGCTTGACACACTTGGGAGCTGAAAGGGGGGAGAGCCGAGGTGGATGGAGTCTCTATCCAAAACAACATAGCCAACGGCAGCTGACCAGAGGAGGGAGGAGCAAAGTCTGCAAGCAACCAATTTGCACCCCTGTTGGACAATGTGACTTATTGTTTTGGAAAATTGAGAAAATCTTAGTTATAGTGACATGGAAAGCCCAGGAACTTTCAGTACTGGCTTTCCACTAGTTAATGCCAAGATGGTGCATCTAAATAAAAATGTTCTTTGAGGAATTGGAATGACCCGGAGTTCATTTTATGATGGATGCATTACTTGGAACCTGACATCATTCTTTCATGAATTGTTCTCAAAATTTCTACAGTCAAACAAACAAACAAACAAAAGAAAATCCCAGGAAGCAGAGCTGAGAAAAATCTCTGCCTGGCAAACAACTTTAGATATAACAGATAATTTCCCTGATTGTGTCCATCCAACATGTTTACCCATAACCATGGTTTATTTAAAAACTCTATTTTATTCCCACAGTATAGTGAGAAATTAACAGCTTTCTCAAATACAAAAGGTTACCAACCACCGAATAACTAACCAACCACATGGCAAGAACTGCACAACACATAATTCTAAAATGTGACTAGGAGATTTTGTTTTTTTTAAAATGCAGCTTCAGTGATAATCAGGTTTAGTATTTCTTAGTTTTATCATGAGAGTAGCAATATATAACAGCAGATACTATCCTCACATAACACATAAGAGGTTGCAACTCTCTTGTTCACAGAAGTTTTAGAAGCAGAGGACCCTTCTTATCTTGTCAATTGGGATCAACAATGCACACCAGATGGCACTAAAGGTGCCATGATCTTAAAGTCTGTGTTGCATGAATTCATATGCAGTGTCTATTTTAAATAATTCAGTATACCAGGGATATTAGAGAGTTTTATTTTCTAGCTGCTGTGTTGAGAGGACAGCCTTAAATCCCATCTCCTCATATCAATAAATGTAACAGAAATTTATAAGCCACTTCTGCACATTGGCATGCTTTTATTCCCATTTTATAGATCTTAGGATAAGGCTGTCGTTTGGTGTTCTGTGCAAACTCAAGCAATGAATTCAGTAAACAGTTTTGAAGTAAACCATGGGGTTGGTTGTGCAAAAATAGCCTGTGTTATTTGGTGTATAATCATGGAAGATCCAATGTAAGATAATTCTATGGCAAGACTTATTTTATATGAGCCATTCAATAGAACAGAGATAACTTTCCAGGTGCAACTAAACTACACCTCCCAGCATCCTTCATCTTAGACACATCTGAAGAGGGCTGCTAGGAGCTGCAGCTTTGATTTGAGCTGTCTGTGAAATACAAATGAAGACTTGATTTTTCCCCCTATAATTAACTGATCTCACTGAAATTATTGCTCCACCAGCAAACATCTCTAGATTTGTTTATTTCTCCCAATTGCTTGTGATAAGCCTTCATTGTATGGTTTGAATTAACCTGATAGGCGTGTTTTGAGATGGATAGTGAATTTCTAATACTATGACCTGAAAATATGTCAATATCTTCAAAATATAGGAAACTGCCATCTATCAGATCAGACCACAGAGACAACAGGTCAGGCCATAGAGGCATCTATTGTAATTCCATCCCTTCTGTCTTACAAGATCTTTCTTGCAGAGGTCTTTCCCAACACCGGCTGCTGTTGGATCCTTTTTGCCTGGAGATGCCACAAACCTCAAGCTTCCACTTAGATGTGGTATGCCCCACATCTATTCTGCCCCAAGATCCAGGGGTTTTCCTCTATTTGTTTAGGAATCGGATCTGTTTTGGTCCAGGAATGACCTACAAAACATGCCTACATGTACATTATCCTAAACTTCCAGGTGTCACACTAGCCCACCATGTACCTGTCAAGACTGGAGGGGTTTAGTCTTTCACAGGTCAGTTTGGTCAGCATCACTGAAAACTGGATGGTTCTGCTTGCTAGCACTGACAGTTAACCACAAGATTTGTGCTTATAGGACAAACCTATCATGTTTTTCTTAGATAACACAGGTTTCTGAGTTTGAACTGTATGCAGTGTAATAAATACACAAATGGATTAAATTGTGGTTGCTTAGTTTGTATATGAAGTTGTGCAATGAAGGGTAAAAATTCCCAATGATCTAATGTACAGAATGGAGACCACACAATCTGCTTGAGCCAACTTTATATGAACAACATTGGGGAGAAACTACAATATCTCCCACCACCACCACTTAAAAGAAGGTTCAAATAACCTTTGAATAGTTGTATAACTAATGCTGACCAGTAGTGATGTCACATGCCAATCATCTTATTTTTGATCTCATGGGCTAGATTTTGGCAATTAAAGGTAACTTGTAAGCCAGCATCTCTACATGCATAAGAAAGCTGTAAAGAAGGCTTACTTGATAGTTTGGAGATCTTGGTTCAGATATTTGTTTTATTCTTTTAATGCTCCCCTTTGATCAGTGGTGTATTAAGCAGACTAAGCACGTGCTTAGGGCACCAGGCTCAAAGGGGGCACCACATAAACTTTTATGTAACCTAAACTTGGCATCATTAGTACAGTATATATACAAAGGAAGGGGGGACCAAGATTTATCAGTGCTTAGGGGACCAGTGAGCCTTAATCTGCCACTGCCTTTGATGCTGGAATTTGAAAATGATTCTAAAGCTGCAAAGTCCCCATACATATCCTTATATGGGCACCATGGGCCCATAATCACCAGTCTCCTCAGAGGTAAGTAGAAAGGTATAGATAAAGGTGGCTGGTGATGGCGACAGTTTAGGGAGTGCAAGTCTTGTTTTGAAAGAGTATCTTTTTTTACTCCTTCAGCAACCCTAATCTACCAAAGTTGTTACTGTGCAACACTGAAACATAAACACCCAAGATTTGGGTGTGCAATCCATTTTGGAGTTCCTTGCTGGGTACATTGAAAATGCCTAATCAAATTCTCCAGCCAGGGTGTCTATAGTCAAAGCAGTCAAGATGGCATGATGATCCAATGAAAACTCTGTCAGTGACACCCATAAAAAATGTAGTCAAGCTTTGCCCCATCGCAGACACCATATTGATTAAAAAAAACAACAACACCATACCCTGGAATGCCTTCTAGGTCTAGTCAGGTGTTATCTATTCCTTGTGAGCATTTACCTGAATTGACTCCTACCTGAAATTCCATTTCTCTCCCTGCTTCTTTCCATTTTTTCATAATTCTGGAAGGGACTGGAACAGTTGGGAGTCTATGGAGATTCTCAGTCATCCAAGTCATAGTTGCCCCAAAGGTGCTTTTTCAAGGGCCAACTGGACTTTCTGGTTGGGAATTAAGCAAATCTGAAAAGCAGCCATTTGGGAAGGCTACATGGAGAAAGATGTTTCCTATAAGTTCCCTCATACCTGTGCATTTTTTTTCTTCACTATATCATGATGCCTGATGTTTTATAGTGCAGTCCTTCCTCCTCTTGTTGTCGATCCTCCAGGACTTTACATAAGATCCTGCTTAATACTCATCTGCAGCTTCATCTGAAACATCCCCTTAACCATTTTATTCAAATTCTTCAACTTAAGCTTCCTTACAGGTTTGCGGATCCATCCAAGGTATTCCTTCTTCCCGGGCTCAATTTCTCTCTTCCCCGCTCCCTTTCAAAGCTCCGTCCCCACATTTTCTTTCCTGCGCGCTGTATTGTGAACGCCTCCCAGGTGTATCCGTCACTTCTGGAATCCGCTCCGATTTTTCCCTCCCGCCTTCTTCCTAGCCCTGAATAGCACTGGCTGGCTCGCCGTTGCCTCCCGCTCCTCAGGGAGCAGAGCGAACCGTTCGGCTTCTTCGTCAAGCACCCTGGCTAGTAGTTCCGGGCTCTGTGGCTGAGGGGCTCGCGCGCCCTCGCTGCCGTCGATCGCCTCAGGCCTAGGAAACCACCCCCCCCGCTCCCTCTTTCTTTCCCCTTCAGTCACCTTCCCTTTTTGCATCTACTTCCCCCTGTCGCCTTGCCCGAGCGGGTCCGCCGGGAGGGGGCGTCCGCCGCAAGGAGTGGAAGGGGAAGAGTGTGTTTTTGCCTCGGGGAAGGCAGCGGGGTAGCGGGAGCGCTCGCTCCACGGGGAGACACAGGGAGGGCTGGTCGGAAGCTCGCGGTGGCGAGGCCAAAGCTGTGCCCGGCCGACTTAGAGCCCCAAGCCGCCCTCCCCTCCTCCTCCTCCTCCTCCTCCTCCGATCTCCTCGCGGCGGGGTGCTGGTGGGGAAGCGCGCGCGTGCTTGTCTGTGTGCACCGTGGCGGGGGAGCAGCAGGCAGACGGAGCCCCCACCCCGCCGCCGTCGCCCTGCGCTCGCGCGGGTGAGTGTGTGTGGTGACAGGAGGGGGGTGGATCTTGGTTTCGTTTGCCTCCGCCGGCTCCAAAATGCCCAGACTGCTTCATACGGATGGCTATATTTCAAGAGATTTCCTTTGGCAAAGCTAGGCGAGGGGCATCGCCTTGTGGAGGCGTCCGCCAGTGACATCTCGTCGGTGGAAGGAGGGCTTTGATTTGGTCCTTCTCTTCCTCCCTCCTCTCTCTCCCCCCGCACCTCTTCCTCTCATCTGCTATTTTCCGAGGGGGCGGCTGCAAACAAACAACAAATTAAAAAAAAAAAAATAGGGACGTAGTCGATTGATAAGAGACGCCCCCTTCTCTTTCTTTCTTTCTTGCCCGCCCCATTTAACTCGCCGGCCCACCAGGGGCAAAAACAATCCGAAATCCGGACGCGTCGTTCTCAGTGTGTGTGCGCTCGCCCTCCCCTTCTCTCTCTTCCCCCCCCACCCCCGCTTCTCTGAAATTGACGCCCCAAGGGGGAGCGATCGGAAGAAGATCGAGATCACGCATCCGATTGCCTCGTGTTTCCTAATATCTGCGGGGGCTCGAGCCCTGCCATTCCGGCGGCAGGGATGGATTAGAGATCTCTGAATGGAGGAACCCGAGAGGACTGGATCGCAGACGGTAAGGAGAGGGAGGCTCGCTTTCGCGGGTGTGTGTGTGTGTGTGGAGGGGGTGCGGGGGTTGCGCGCGGGGTTGACGTGTTGGTGGAAATTGAACGGTACTCTCTCCCCGCTCCCCTTCCCGTTCACCACTGACTCTATTGGCTTCGGACACCTGGAGAAATCGGATAGATGGCGAGTCTATTTGCAAGAGGGCGCTGGTAGTGTTTGGCAAGATGATGGTGGTGATGGTGGTGGTGGTGATTGTTATGGGGGACAAAATGGGATGTTATCATCGCCCTCGTTACCTGAGCTTTCTTTTTGCCCCCCCCCCCCCGTTTGGATACTGCTGGACCTGGTTTGATAAGCGTCTCTCGTGAGCTTTGCGCCGTGAGCCTTGAACGGGGGAGGGGGTGTTGCTGAACTACGAGGCTGGGAGGAAGGGACCATTTCCTCCCTCTTTCCTTCCTTCTATCTCACCACCCCGCTTCATTTTCTCTGGAGATTTGCGATCGAGTCACGGGGGGGTGGTGGTTTGCAAGTGAGGGTCCCTTTCGCCTACGGGTGAGGCGGCCGCCTTTCCTCCGTTCGGTTTCTGTGATGCCCAAGACAAAGCCCTCTGCAAAAAAAAAAAATTATCCTGCTCCTCGTCGCCGGTACTGCGGGATTTCCTCCCCCTCGCTTTTGTATATACGTTGGGGGGCGGGGGGGGGGGGGTTGGAGAGGAAAGGAAATTGCCGTCAAAATACCGTAATGCACAAAGAGGAGGGTAAGGCAGTTTCTGGCGATCATTTCCCCCCCCCCTTCTAGTCTTATTCTTCTTTTTCCCCGCAGCCCGTCTCCGGGCTCATTTTGCTGCAGGGGGGAGAGGGGGAGGGACCCGGAACCTGCTTTAGCATCGCGGCAACGGTCCGTTTCTTGTAATTATCCCCCCGCCCCAAATTTCTCTGATACGTGTCTATGTGCAACAACCAGGTTTTGAAGGAAGAGGAGGGGGTGGCGAGCATATACGCGCGCGCGAACCTCTCCCTCCCCTCCTCCCCACAAGTATAGCTTCAAGATGAGGAGGCTGAAGGATGCAGGCAGAATGGTTAATTGGGAATGTGGGGGGGGGGGAGGGAAGGGGAGGGGGCATGGGTTTGTTGTGATGGTTCTGGAGCTATGCCATCCACTCCCCTCAGTGCCTACCCCACCCTCAATACATTTCTCTAGGGGTAAGTGGATGTGCCCCTGACTTCACCTCAGGCCAGGCCTTCCCTAAGCAGCTCCCTTATGGCCGCCCAAGGGTCCCTGAGCTGAAAATATGGCTGTGAATCTAATTCCCCAGCAAGTGGGGCCTGATCTTGATTTGTCCACAGGAAGGTTTTCAGTGAATGGTGGATGCGAATGCCACACGCCTGCACGCAATCACACACACACACACACACATTTTGGTACCTTGTATAATATCTCCTGATTGTCTCTGCCCCATAAGAAAGAAAGGCTGGCAAAGAATTAAGGGGCAGTGGGCTGTCTGGAAGAAACTTAGATTAAAATTATTGCATCTGCTCAAGTCTATTCTCCCCCTTCCCCCCCCCCCCTCAATTAGCTGACATCCATGATTATTAGACTTCCACTGATTTTAAGATGGGAGTGGAGATGGGATCAAATTATCTCTGCCCCCCCTTCCCCCATCATTATTCCCAAAATTAGGTTGACAGAGATGGTAGATTGATTGCTGCAACACATAGTGATTTAAAATTCTTCGCAGGGCTGAGAAGATAGAAGGAAGAGAGGAGATTCAGTTTTACGGTGCCTTGAGTTCTTCCCTAATTTGGTGAATATAGAGGCTGTGGAGTTGTAATTATTAATGTTTTTAAATGTTGGAAAATAAAATGACGGGAAAAGGGGCTGTGTGTGTTTCTATGTTTAGGAGGGATTGGCTAGAATGGTTGGTAAAAGGTAAGGGTGAATACAAATGTCAATAAACCAAAAGAAATGTAGATAAAGGGGAAACAAGCTCGGAAAAAGAAATGGTTAGAAATCATACTGTCTTTCCCCCCCTGCCTCTCCAAATTTATTATACATAAATCTCTCCCCCACTCCCCAGTTTCCTGTGGTAGCTTTTCTGCTTTCAGTGGCAATTGAATAGTCTCCCTCCCTCCCCCCTTGTGAACCATAAATGTCTTTTCTCAGCATTGGCTTGCTTGGCAAAGGTGAGGAAACTGGAAGAAGTCAAACAATAGTTCTTGGGGGAATGTCAGCAGCCCACAAGGGTTATTAAAAGGGAAAGTTGGCACCAGGTAGCAGAAACTGGCCTTGCTTTTTCTGAAATCTCCAAGTTGGGGAGATAAGATAAAAGAGATAAGAAGAACATCTTTGGTTAAATATCTTCAATTCTGCCCTGAATCCTCTCTAGCTCCCTTCTCCCCTCTGCTTGTCCAGTCTAACAGTGATGTCCATACTTGCTTTCTATTGCTTGGAAGACTCTTGGAAGATAATATAGAACATCACTGCCACCTTTTTGGCACATCAGGTTGTATCCAGTACCCACCCACATAGGCTTGAGAGAGTGTTGTCTTGGAAAAGTGGGGCACCAGTCCATTGCTGTTGGAGCATTTTTGCAAGGTAGCGGGAGGAGAAGGCAGAGCAAAGCCAGTGTGGCTGTAACAGCTTCAGAGAATCTCTGCAGCAGCAAAACTAAAGGCAGGATACTCTAAACAAAGAGAATTTAAACCTATTCCTTTTTTCTACAACAAGAATAACAATGGTTTATGGTCTCAGTACTGAGACAGGGATATCATCTGTTTAATAGGATATCACAAAGATTTTGGGGAACAAACCTTCCTGGATCCATTACTATTGAATCTACTGCAACTGAATACTGTTGCCTTTGGATCCACTGTTCAGTTTAATAACTGGGTGCCCAGGAGGTTCTTCCTGGAAGTTCTTTTCTGAAAATTGGATGTGTTTCCAAACAATTGTGGTTGTTCAGAATTAACGTTACACTGGTCAAACATTAATTATAACCACGAATTCCATGCAACAGATGCACTTGTTTGGAGGAAGAGGGTATATCAGCCAGTATTCCTGAAGTGAGATGCAGTACATGGAGAACTGGCTGATATATCCTCGTCCTCCAAACAAGTGCATCTGCTTACTTTTGGGGTGCACACCTCCAGATTTGTTACACCTATGAAACGTTTACTACATAAGTGATTCTTAGGAGTTTTGAAAGCAATTCTTGGGAGTTTTGTGCAAACGGATCAACCCCTGCTTGGTTTCATTTTCCATGAATCAATAAAGATGGATTTTTCTGGTGGATGTAAATTGGCATTATTCTCTTTGAACGCAGGGGCGCTGTGCTGCTTAACACCAGCTGGAGGTATGAAGCCTTTTGCCAAACACATTTATGCTGTGGCTCTTGTGGTACATGCACATTATGTGGCAGATTCTTCACTTATATGAGCCTATGACGTATGCCTGGAGCTAGGATTCCCCCCCACACACACTTTGTAAGAACCCTGTCTTCTGAAATTGACCAGCCGCCAAAAAAAAAAAATGCCTCTGAGCAGAGAGCTTTTCAATCAGATCTAAATCAACATCTCTCAGCACAGAGGCAACCTTGCCTTAGACATCTCAGCAGCTCCTAAGCTCAAGGGGTTATCTTGGATGTCCATTTCTACCAAGAACCACTAATGACTGGAAAAATTATTTCTTATGCTTGATCATGTGGGATCCAGATTTCAACAGAATCCAGCCGTTTGCAAGCCATTGAGTGCTTTGTTGGAGTTAAAAAGTCTTGATTTTCCAAAGAAAAATGAGAAGGCAGTTGGGTACCTAACTAAGGACTTGTGTTGCAAGCTAACCACTAGGTTTGACTGGGGGAACATTTTAAAATGTATTTTCTCTGTCTCTTTCTCCCTATGTGTGTGTGTGTGTGTGTGAGAGAGAGAGAGAGAGAGAGAGAGAGAGAGAGAGAGAGAGAGTACCCTCTTCTTATTTTATATATACAGAATTTCTTTAAAAATGCTGTATTTAAGAAGTCAAGAAATGGGTAGATATCTCAAGATGTCTTACCTGTTCCTTGTTTGAGAGAGGGGATATATCCCTAGAGGCTCCCTGTGTAGTGCTGAATATATTAGTGTTCTGTCATCTGTGCTCTGAGCATCCATCTATGCCTGTATGGTAAATGCAACCCTATTCTCTTATACATAATTATGCCTGTGTATTCTCACATGTACACATACTTTCTCTTTTGTTATATTATCTTCTTTGATGGGATGCCCAGTCTTAGCAGCTCTGTAGGGATTTTAAACAATATGTTGAAGATGATTAAGGGAGGGCAGTCAGCTGGACGCTGTTTGAGGTGAAACAGATTCTTTTCCATTGTTTTTATTCAAGCGTTGTGTTAACGAACAAACCCGCCCGTGCCTGTCTCCCATACCAAGAGTCCTTCAATGGAGCTAGTGGCATTATTAGAGAACTGCTGGAGACCCCAGTTTGGTCTTGTGGTTAAGGCGCCAGGTTAGAAAGCGGGAGACTTTGAGTTCTGGTCTCATGAAAGCCAGCTGGGTGGCCTTGGGCCAGTCTCTCTTTCTCTCAGTCCAACTCAACTCACAGAGTTATTGTGGTGGTGAAAATAGGAGGAGGATGGTGTATTGGATATGTTTGCCACCTGGAGTTATTTGTAAAAATGAATAAAGGTGGTATACAAACAAATAAATTAACCTGGAAGAACCAACATTCAAATCTTCCAAAACCATCTTTAAAATAGCCAGAATCCATTGTTTTGATTTCCAGCAATACCCGTAGAGGTACTGCAGTGAAGGCAGTATGGGAAATGGTGGTTAAACTTACAATTTAGACTATCACTGTCTCTTCATAGCTGATGATACCTATGAGTTACTTATTACTGTGCCAGGGAAACTGGGCTAGCTGTTTCTGGTAGGAGAGAGGGTCTATCTGAGGGTTTCTTTTGTCCAGGACCTTCTCAAACCTCATGCTGTTTTTCTTTTCCAGCATTTCGTCATGTTTCCTTGT